GTTATAAAAAAATATTTATTAACCCATAGAGATTAAAAGGCAATTTCACTAACTAGTCCATCCAGCACATAAAAAAGAGCTGCACTGGGATTCTGGATAGGTAATTTATCTAATCACATTCCTATGATAAATAGACAACTTTCATTTCTGGGCATATATAAGAACACTTTTGAAAGCTGCATATCCCAAAAGAAAATTAGATTGGGTTGTATACTCTAAATTAAAGGCTACCAAAAATCACAGTGTAAGTAGATTTTTTTAAGATTATTTTTAGCATACAAATGGTTAAATTATAGACAGATTTTTAAAATACAACCCAAAAAAAAAAAAAAAAGACCAAAACAAGGGAACCCTTTCAAGTTGGACAGCACCACTCTGACTAGGTCAAGCAGATCTATGAAGGTGGCCAAGTGGCTGACAGGGAAAATAAAAATAATATACCAGGAAAACCCTCTAAAATGTCATTCAGAGATTTCCTGAGTATGTGTATAAATTCATTTTAACCAATCCCTCTGTCAAAATAAAGAGAGGAACAGGGCATAATTTCTGCAAAGTATAATTTCTACAAAGTTCCATGCATTTTTGTACTGATTTTAGGATCAAGCTTAAAATGCTTTTGTTGCCATTAAAACACACAGGACACCTGTAGCTGCACAGTCATTCTGAGCTTTGCTGGCCCTCCAGCCAATGCACAATCCATCATTTCATGCTACAAGCAGCACAAGCCAATGCCTGATTCCCAGACGTGCCCCTGCTTCCCTCCTGCCCGCGGGACTGAGCCGGGCCCAGCCTGGATCCCCTCTGGAAGCTGAGCCCGGGCAATCCCAGCCCTTCCCAGCCCCCCGAGATCCCCGTGGCTGCTGTGGCCACTGGGGGTTCTGACTGCTCATGTCTCACTGCGAAAGCTCTGGATTGCCAAGGGTCCTTCTCACATCTCCAACCCCTTATCAGACTGTGCCTTATCATTATCCTCACTGCCACTGAAGGGTTTTGGCTCCAGAGCTTGCACAACAGTTCTGCTCTTCCTCCTCCTCCAAGCTGATCAGTATCCCAGCTGAGTAGGAGAAACAATATTACTTCCTACACTATCTGAACTGCTACTAAGTTTGTTCTCATTTTTTAACTATGCCCTAAAACCATTATTCTTGCTTATTTTAGATTTTTGGTGAGATTTTTTTCCCTCGTGAACGAAAACAAGTAGAAATTATTACAACATGACATGAGACAAGAAAATAACAGATACAGAAAGAGGCCTAAGGAAGAGGGAGGAAGAAGGAATTGCATTAATAAAGCCACAGATTGGGTAACAATTTGCTGTGCCTGCACATCCCCAGAAGAGTGGTGAGGTGACCAAATTCATTTAGGGACCTTAAAGCTCATGAAAAGCTGGTGTGTAACTGAGCCAGAACAGTCCAGGGCAGCAGATCCTCTCTCTGCTGTGTGCACAGCACTCCATGAACCTCTGGCTCTGCCCTGGTGGGATGGGACAATCAGCACATGGACAGAAATTCACAGGGGGAACATAAACTGCTACCCAGGGAGGAGTGGGAACCTCTCCCTCCCCTTTCTGGGAGCAGCAATGGAATCCAGAGAGCTGAAACAATGCCAGAGCGTGCCATGAGACCAGAGTGACCAACAAACCCTGGGAAGTGTTTGTCACAACAGTGACAAAGCCAAGCAAAGAGCAGCACGCTGCTCCTTTATCCCATGGAAAGCCACCTTAAAGGGAAAGGTGAGCAGCTGCTGCCAAGGCACAGACCTGTGCTGATGCTGTGCTCCTGAATGAGTGAGCAGCAATCTCAGCTCCTTGGGGCCAGTGCCTGTCTCAGAAGGCACAGGGAGGTCACTCCAGGAATCTCAGAGCAGCCCCAGCATTCCACAGGCCCACAGAAACAACACCCAGCCAGCAGGAAAGGGAAGAGCACCACAGCTGACACCAAGGGATATTGGACACATTCCGATCTTCCTGGCACTGCACAGACCAACAGCAAGAATTAAATATTAAAGCATTTGATCCGTGAGGCACGAATATTCCAGATGAAAGGAAAAGGGGGAAAGAAGAAGGGATTGGCTTTACTCAGACACGTGAGTGAGTTCCCCTGTGGCTTCAGGAGCTCCTGCTGGGGCTGCTTGCACAGCTCAAGGACGTGGCACCAAGCCCAGCTGAGCAGGAGAGGCAAAGAGGCTCCTGCAGCACTGACAGCAGCCCCAGGCAGAGCTCACTGTGTAACACACACTGGGGTGTCTGCACAGGGGCACAATTCAGTCATTTCTACACCCAGAAATACACACAAACTCCCTCTGACCAAAGGGCACCCATCCAAACCCTCACTGTTTCAAGCATCCTGTTCCTACCAACCTCAACTGTTTGCTTTCATTTAGTTCTATTTACAGTGGGGTTTGAGTCCCTTTATGGAGCTAAACAGCACCCTTAAGGACAAAAAGAAATTATCCCCGTGTGCTAGCAATTACAAGCAAGACTAACTGGCTGAGAGAAGCAATTTAATCTCTAAGCAAGTTTAAAAAAAATTAAACTTTCTACCCTCTTCTCTTCCTCAAGGGTGTTTTGTGTGACTGCAGTTTAAGTAACAGTCTTTAAGAAGTACCTCTCCAATATACTGTGTAAAATTAACTCAGGGGAAATGGATACATCAAATGATCTTAATATTTCAAATGTAGTTGTCTCTCACAGCTACTTTATTTCCCTTCTATATAATCCAAATAGTAAATAATGTCTCTGCAGAGCAGTAAGTGCTTAAGATTTTTTAGAAAGTATATACTATACAATACTAAAATCATCTTTGGTCCCAAAAATAAGGAAATTACACATTTACATTTGCTTTTATTTCACAAAGTGAATCAGAGAGTGTTTTTTAAATTACTGTTCTCTTTTGGATTCCACCTGAGAGCTGTGCTAGGCTCAGGGCATGATGTGAGTAATGAATCCTGGCATTCCCAGCTGCAGGAATCTCACCCCTCCTGTGACTGCCCCACTCTGCTCCTGTCCCTGCAGCTCCAGGGGCTGGGGCCTCACTGCACAGCAAACCCAGGTACCCTTCTCCTAGGTCAGGACAGGTGCAGGGTTTGAAAGGTACAAATTCATAATCCCAGAGAGGCACACAGAGCTCTGCCCCAGCCTCAGGGAGCTCAGGGGAGGATCTGGGAATGCTCCTCCAGCCCTGGCCAGTGACAGGACAACTCCTGACAAACCCCTGGGGACACCATCCTGTTCCCTGATTGCAGATGGCAGCTCCACTCCAACAGCATGGATCTTCTGGAGAATTCTGTTTTGTATTTCAGTAGGTGGGTGCAGCTTGATTTTGGTGTGGGATGTTTGGGGGTTTTTTTGTTTTGTTTTGTCTGGTTTGGGTTTGCTTGGGGTTCTTTACAATCTTTATCCAAACCGCTTTGATGCCGCTTTAAAATTCCTGACTGGCTATGCCTGTGCTACTTTTAAAAAGTCTTTTAATAATTGACATTGCAAACTCTGCCAGGCCTGGGCAGTGCTGGCAAACAGCAGGGCTGCCACAGCAGTTCTGGCAATAACAAGTTGTTATTTCCTACCACAGTGGCCATGGAACTGCCATGTGCTGCTCAGGAAATGCACCCAGGTGAGGAAACCCTCTGTGGAATGTCTGCTCTGACCCAGCTCCAAGAGCTGGTTCCATCTTCTTTTAAACTGTGTTCCCTTTGGCATAGCATCCAGAAAAGCACAATAAAGTGTTACTGTAGGAACTGGTAAAACCATCAATCACTACGAAAATGCAAATTTTCCTGAACCTCATCAGTAACTCTGAATTTTAATCTTCTTCTCAACCACTGAAGTGAAATGCACTATAGATGTCAATACACTGAAAATGGAAAGGCATCACCTTTGTCACCTTTTCACTCATCAAAATAATTCTCTGCTGCTCAATTTGAATACTGCAGCATTAGGTTCACACTTCCACTACCCCAGCTCCCTCCAGTATTACAAAAGCCCAGGCACTTCTGATCTCCTGTTTGGTGTGACTTGGTTTTCATGGTACACACCTCACCCACAGCACACTGCCCGTTGTCCTTAAGGCTCCAGGGGCTGCACTCACCTGAGCAGTGCAGCTCCAGCAGGACACACAAACCCAGTCACACGTGGCAAACCATCCCAATAATTGCACAGATTTCCATTTTCCTCACACCACAAAGGAGCTCAGTGCTAGAGATCTCCTCCCACACACACTGTCTTCACTCAGGCACACAAATGCCAAATAATGCACTGAAGAGATGAAAACACCAAAGAAACAGGAAAATATCAAGAGACATCTTCCTAATAATATTGTGGCATTATCTAGCCAATTACTGCTGAATTTGAGTTCTGAGTAGAGAAAATGTAATTCATTCACTGGAAGTACAAGGAAAACTTAAAAAAAAAAACTTCAGCTAAGTAAAACTATTTCTAAACAAATCAATACAATCATATTATTTTCCAATTAGCTAAATTAATTTTTCAAAGAATCCTAAGGGGAAAAAATCTGCAGAAACACCCAGTTAAATAAAAATCAGGTTCATCTACCACCAATTAAGTTTTAATTTTAGAACAACCATCCTTCTAAAAAGAAATATTTACCTTACATGAATCACAACATTGCAACCTTAGGAACACTTTAAAAGCACATACATTTTTGCTAGTTCTTGCTTACTCTGGTCTTAGAGGGAAAGCAAGTTCTAGCAAAAACTTCTGGAAATGCTGAACCTTAAAAAAAAAAAAGAAAAAAGGGGGAAAAAAAAAGAAAAAGAAAGCCACAGCTGGAATGTAAGTCTGTAGGATGACAACCCCTTCGTTCTCTACTGTGCCCCTTAAGCCCGTTTTGTGCACCCCATCTCCTAAACACATTTATTTTCCCACTTTGGAATGAACACTGGAATGTGTCCTGACAGGAGCAGGCAGCCCCTCTGTGCCCTCGGTGTCCCCCAGGCTCGGCCAGGGCCCTGCCCAGCACCAGCACAACTCTGGCACGGCTTCCAGCAGGCAGGCAGCTGGGCAGGGCTCAGGGCAGGAGGACAGACAGACAGACAGACAGACACAGTTTGGGACGGACAGGCCCCGCTGGCTGAGTTATTGCTGAGTGCCCCTGGCTCCTTGGCACATCTGGGGGCTCCATCTCCTCCCTCAGCAGCCGGGCAGTGCTGCTCCGTCCCCGGGGCAGCTGCAGGAGCAGGGCATCTCCAGAGAGGGAAGGGAACTCTGTGCACGTAATCCAAAGCAGTGACACACTTCAGAACAGACATACATTATATATTCTGCGAGCTATATAATATATGCCCATGTCTATGCCGAGGCCTTGAGGGGATCTTCCTTTGGAACCACCACCATTTTCTGCCTCCATGACAGCAGCTTCTGGCTCAACACATCTCTGCACGCGTGCAGGGCTGGGCATCCTCGCCAGCCTCGAAGCACCTTTTCCTGCTCGAATAAAGCCAAAGCCTTGTTCCATGAGGGAGCTGGGCGCTGTTTTTCCCTTGGGGCGGCCCTCAGGCGTCCAGGCGCTGGATCTCGGGCCGGTGCACCACCTCGCGGGACTCGCTGCGGGCGCGCACGTACTCGCTGCTCTGGCGGCTCTGCTGCCGCCGGCCCAGCCGCCAGCGCTGCACCGCCACGGCTGCGTTCACCGCGAACACCAGCGTGGCCAGGAACCCGAACACCTGCGGGAACACACACACGGCACAGGGCACGGTGAAAACAACAGCGGCAGCCTCGCAGCACAGCCCTCACAAGTTCCGCTTCCCACGTTATTTGCGCTGATAAATCATCGTCACCTGGGAAATTACACTTTTTCTTCTCAATGAACTACAGAATTTTCAAAAGCAGCTGAGATCAATGATCCCAGAAAGCAGAGTTCTCTGACTACCAACATGAGAATTAAATCTTGCAGTGCAGCTCAGGGTAAAGAACTCCCTTGTAAAGAAACCAGCTCTTTATCCAAAAGCTCATTCATTCCTTGACAGTGACAAGTCCAGAGCATCAGCCTCTATGCCTCTGCAGAACTCATGTGATTTTAAAAACCAGGTTAAAAAGAAAATAAACAATAATAAGGGGTCGCCAACTCACACACAAAAGTAATTTCTTTGAACTGACTGTTGTAGATTTAAAACCCTGAAGTGCTGCTACACTCACTCCAAAGAATAAAAAATCATCTGTACTGAGCAAGAACTAAGCAAATTACGCATAAGCAGCTTCAACTTCTTACTTTTTGGCTCTATCGTTCCATAGGCTCACAATATAGAGCACCAAAGAAAAGGCACCAAAGAGAAAGGTCAGTTCAACTGTAAAGTGTTCTCTGCAAGTCTTTTTTCTGCTGTTCTTGCCTCAGGCCTTCAGACTAAGCTCCAAGGATTCTTAAAATAAGAACTATCTCACAGCAAATTGTAAAAGTAGAAGCAAATTGTGATGGCAAAGGCAACAGGTGTATTCAATCAATGAGTAAAAGTTAATTTTAATACAAGGTAAGAGTCAGATAGAAACAAGTTGAAATTCTTACCACAGCAGCAATTTCTGCTCCAGTTTTATGGTTTAAAGCAGCCAGTACTACAGAGGCAATGAAAAAGAAGAAAGTGCTGAGTCCAGTGTTGACCAGATCCTAAAAAAATAAATTCAGCAGCATTATTAAATGATGATTGTTTGCTTTATCAGAAGTGATGACACAGAAGGTTGGAACAAGAAGTGCAGCAATCCTCTGGTGGCCCAGGTGTCCCAAGGAGGCAGAGGCTGTCCCACAGGAGCAGCAGGAGTGGAGCTGCAGTGCCAGGGCACCCGAGCACATCCCCTCGGGGCTGGCAGTGGGCACAGCTGGCAGCACAGGGCTCACCCTGCCCAGCGCTGCTCACATCCAGCACAGCCCACACACCTGCCAGCAGCCTTCCCACCCCTCCTGCACCGAACAAAACTGCACCTCCTGTGCCACTGCTGGGAGTAACAGCTGCCAGCAGGGTAAGAACAGAGGTTTTCACCTATTTATTGCATAAAACTGGTATTTCACGCAGACATTTTAGAACACACACACTGCATCATGCTCAGGGAAAACTGCTTTGCTCCAAGCAAAGGAAGACAACTTGCTCCACACAATTCCTGTCTCTGGTGTTCAGATGGTGATGCTGCCCTGCCTCACCTCAAACAGGGTCATGAACATGTCACTGCAACCAAAGGAGGAATTCTGAATGGCAGGTGTTTGCACAAGAGTGATTACATCAATACAAGACTAACTGATCAGACAGGAGCGAAAAAATACCCAAAGGTGTAAATAAGAGAATAAACAAAGTCTAGATTTGTTCCGGACAAGGTGCTCAGTGTGTTATCAGGACACCTTTCACATCTGATGTGTGTGGACCCTGCACTGTCTGCATGCTCCCACCAAACTGGGGAACACCATTCCCAAACACAGAGCCACCATGAATGAACAGCTGAGCTTAGGGTGGAGGAACCAAGAAATTCAGCACAAACATCAAATCTGTGAGAAGTGAATACTGCCACAGACAGAAGGGATTGACAGAAAACCTTCAATTCAAGATTGCTGTGCTACTTATAGCCTTGAGGTAAAGAAAAAAACCCACACAAAACCCAAAAAAAAAGCCCCACAAAACCACAGTGAACATGACAACTCCCACCATATAAAAGCAATCACAACAATTAGAATTTAAGGACAATTTGTTCTATTTGACTCTCTTCTCCCACATGCAAGGCAGGCTCACTTCCTGTTACAGCTCCTTCACTTTTTCCATTTTTTTAATAATTATTTTATTATTTTCCCAAAAGGCCTCTTGTGAAGTGCAATGAGAAGCCAGGCTCAGAAGATTTAAGACATAACTCTAAAGTGACTCCTGTGGGTGTGAGTCCCCAGCTGTGCTCCAGTTCCACAGCACAAGGAGTTTTTGGAGGGAACAGTGCTGTCCTGTCCCAGCCACAAGCACAGAATGCTGCAGACAGACACTGCAGGAATGGAAGGTTCTGGCACTGTGCTACTCACATAAAACAATCTATTTTGAGGGTGCTGACTCAGCAACAGCTGGTTATCAGCACTGAGTGTCCAGACTGCACCAGGCACCTCCGTGGCCTGAGCCTCATCTCCAACAGGGACCTTCCCAAGGACCAGAGAGGTTCCCGTGGCTCATGGCCACACTCCTATCCACGTGTCACGAGCCCAGTAAGACCCAAACTCTAATCAAATAGTAAAGAAACAAAAGCAAATTGTGGTTCTTACAAATTCCTACCAATTTTTCACCTGCCTGCGTACAGAGATATTTTTTTTACCCCTGCTCAAGCTCACTGAGATAGATGCAGCCTGAGACCTAGGACATCAAACAAACCCAAATTCTATTAACTAGGTATTGCAGTTTTTATTATATAACTTTTTCTTTGCAGAGATGAAATTTAAACTTATATAAATAGCAGTATTATAAAATAAATGGCTTGACAGAGTTTCTCCAAGCGATCCCCTTTGCAGCTCTGAGTTTACACATCCAGCTGTGCTCCTGCAGCTGCCAGCACGAGCTGGGGCTCTCACCTGCAGGAACCTTTTCCCACTGGAGGGGAACTCTCACTGTACCTGCAACAGACCCACTTCAGCACTTCCAGCAAGCCTCTATGTAAATGTATGTGTGCCACCAAGAATGGGGAAACTACATACTGAGGAGAGGGATAATTAAAAACTCAGAAATTAATTCAACTCAAGGTCAAGTTGTGTATTTTACTACCAGAGTACATCTGGCATCTACAGGAAGGACCTGCAGAACAGAGACAAATCCCAGAAGAAATAATTCAGAACTTGGTAATTACTGTAGGAAGGCATCTCAAGAGGTGCTGCCATGACCAAAAATAGGGACAAAAATCACTTTGCACTCCTTTGGGCTTATGGACATGACAGGTGGTAATCTTACCTTTGCCAGGGACACTGGAATGCTGCACCCTGTTCCAAATCCACATTTTTAAAAGAATGTTGAAAAATTGGACAGGATACAGAGAAGAGCCTCAGAAGTTATTGAAAGGAGGAGAAAATTTCTCACAGGATGAATCACAAGAATGTAAACTGCTTTGAATATTAAAAAGATTGAGCTGTGTGCACTAAGACTCCAGTGTTCAAACAATTAAAAACACTGGTTGTTTTAAAAGCTTAACATCAGAAAGCCAACAAAACTGACAGCAAAACAAAACCAACAGCTGCCAAGTTAAGGCAGAAGTCATATTCAAAATGAAGCTAATTTTAAATGTAGGAGACCTAAGCAACAGGACAAACAGTCAAATATTAAAAGTATTTAATATTCTACCCTTTCACTTCATATAACCCAGGTTATGCTTTTTCAGACACACACACATTTTGTGCTTCCTTAGCACCATAATTAAAGACTACATGGATGGCACATGATGGTCTGTGATTGCTGGGGTCAGATGAAATCATTAATTAATCCTGCTGACTTCTGAGGTTCAGAATTGTCACCTTGGGGACCTTTCCAAAGGAGCAAAGTGTAAGCAAGAGGGCCAACATGACACATTGATCACCTGGCTCCATGCAGCAAATGGACCTGCAAAATATAAAACCCTGCTGAAATTAAATTGCTGATGCCTTTTCTAATGGACTTTGCTATAAGTACAGCAGCAACTTGTCATCATCACTGGCATTTTATTCTATTGAATTTTTACAAAGAACATCAAATTCTACACAGAGAATTGAACAATTTAAATCTAAAGAAGTGATTCTATCTTGAAGCTCCTATTTATTCACCTTTGCAACTCCATTTTCCCCATTTAGGTCAAACCCTTCTAATGCAATTACAACTGATTCACATTCATATAATGGGGCTGGGTTTTGAAAAAAGCTAAAATGAAAATTATTTTATACCCCCAGAGTAGACTTTGGAGCTTTAGGAGCAATGACAGCAGCAACACTGTCATATACACATGTAATGGTAACATCACAGATGGAAACAGCAATGGACTTCTTAATCCAAAATATGGGAGCTACTACTTAGAGCAGAAAGATAAGAAAAGCAAAAAAACCTCAGTAGTTTTGGGCAAAGTAAGAGGAGAAATAAAAGAAAACAAACTACAGCAAGAAGCAGAGGACACTCCCTAAAATACTGCAAGTTTTTTCCACGTAAGAAAAAATGAATAATCGTGACAATAGGAAGAATAAACTAATTGAAAAAAGATGAAGCTGCTTCAAATCTGTCCATGATGGAGCTGAAGCTCTTGCTATTATATTTATAGACAAAGTCAAACCACATCACAGAGGTAGAAGAATTTCTGCTGAAATTACAGCAACCTCATGAGACAGTATGCTGTGCCATAAAATCCTGTGCAGAGCTGCCATCCACAACAGAATCGAATCCCTGAGCTGAATCAAACCCACTCCAGGCTGCTGCTGCTTCCTTTCTCCTTTCCAAAATAATCCAAGTGAACAAATGACTCCTGGTCACTTGCTAGTTTATTCGCAAGTGATTCTGTTCAGTCCCAGTGGTCCTGCCAGTCCAGCTGAGAGTATCCAAGGCCATGGATTTGCTCTCTGTCCCACTCAGGGCAGGACAGGGCAGAGGAGATGTTGTAACTCATGGATGAAGATGGGCTTATGCCAAGAAAAATATTTTATGCTACAAGAGGGCAACGCTTTTGTTCTGGTGTGAACAGAACAGAACAATGCTGGAAGCCCCATTCCATGGTCCTGTAACCATCCCACACTCTGGTTTTTGAGGGTCCAGGCAGGTACAGCTCCTGGGTTACAGAGGATGGAAAAGCTGAACTGGTGCTACCAATGAGAGCTCTGATAACAGATGGGGCCACTGGCACCAAATCACTGCTGAGATCTTCCTTTCAGGCTGGGACATCACCAGAGCTGCCTCTGACGCTCACAGGCTCCAGCAGCACCCACACATCCTCATCCACAGCTCCCCACAACCTCACACAAGCTTCTAGGAATCATTCAATCAAAACTCCTGCCTTTCTATCCTGTACATGTGCCCAGGTACTGTTTAAAAGGCAAACTGTGCCATATTGCGGCTGAAACTCGTGTAAACAGAGATATCACATTTACACTGATGCCTGCTCTTGTCATTGGCTTTCCGAAATCCAAAAGTTTACATCTTGATGGAGATTCAAGTGGCTAAACTGATGTACTCTGGAAGCAAAGCCTGCACATTTCAACAACCTGACAGAAGTCAGTCCCAGAATCAGACACCTGATTTATCTTCCATAGAAGACAGAGCTCAAAGTAACATTTCCTTTTACTTTTGTTTAGGTTTGCTGATAGGGGAAACCAGCAAACCTAAACAAAACTAAAGGCAGGGGGAGTGTGGTTATTAATATTTTTTAATTATTATTTTAATTTTTTTTTTTACAATGACCTTAATTTTTCTTCCAACCAGTACTTTATTTGCAAGGTTTGGGAACATCTTCCCTTGCTTCTATATGAAGCTGTCAAGTTGAAGGTTACAAACACACCAGTGAGTCCTCTAAACCAAGCACCTCTGGTCAAACTCCCAGAATTTTGTTCTGTTATTAAACAGTGTTTGAGTATTTTGCACTACAATTAAAAATGGAAACATGGTTCATCAAGCAAAAATAAGTGCTAGGTAGAAAGAACCAAATAAACCCTATGAGCATTAATTGCCATCTCTTTTTTCCCTTGTATATTTACAGTTACCTAGGTAAACACAAGATACACATAAGCACTGCTTCCCCAATAGAAGAGCCCATGAATATAAATTTCAGAAAGTTACTGTCACAAAGCAACAGACCATACCTGCAATAACTACCAAAATACATTATCTTTCTTGTATTTAAAACTAGAGACTGCATTTATTACAGAGTAACATTTACACCATGCACCAAACCAGAACAGTCCATGAAGAACCAAGAGAAAATCAATTCTTACAATTGTTGTTAAACACATAAAATGTTCATTTTTATCCTTAACAGGTACCGTTATTTTGAGAGAAGTAAGTATAAAGGTCAAGGATGACTGACTTAATTTTTCATTCAACAGCTAAGGAAAGCAAAATGCTTTTTTTCAAAACAGAAGGGAAAAAATAAATTAAAAATATAAATAAAATTCAAGATGGTCCTGTGAAGGACTTTGAGCTATAGCTTTGTAATTATACTGTGCAAAGGCAAGGCAGCACAGGACAGTTTTGTCACTCAGGCACATGAAATTTTCTGCCAACTCCTTCAAGTGTCAGCTGCTGTGCTACACAAGATTTCACTGCTGCAAAAATAAAAAACAACCAGCTCTGCAGAGATGATGAAATCAGTGTTCAGGTAGCACAGAACTCCCCAGCTGCCCTGTGTGTTCTAACACACACACCTGGGTCCCTGTTTGCTCCCTGGGGCTGAGTCCAGTGGAGCTCTGATTTTGTGCTGTGCTCAGCTCTGTGCCTCACTTCTGAGCTGAAAAACTGCAGCCAGAACTGGACTCCCAAAATACACTACCATAACTCCAGTGAGTGCCCCAAGAAAATAATTTGAAGCAAAAAATCAATGGTCAAAATGTCTAGGGAGATTTCTTCCCTACACACTGACAAACAGCTCATTCTACAGGCTGATCATGCAATGATTCACATTGGTGCTCAGGTAATCGGGTTTCCCTTGTCACACAAACTTCCATCCAAGGGACAACACTGCCAAATTCCGGTGTTCCCAGCTCCCTGGCACCACTGAGGTGTCTCCCTGAGCAGGAGAGAGGATCCCAGTCCCAGCCCCAGCCCTGGGAGCAGATCGCAGGGCAGGATCCCAGTCCCAGTCCCAGTGCAGGATCCCAGGGCAGGATCCCAGTCCCAGGAGCAGATCCCAGTGCAGGATCCCAGGGCAGGATCCCAGGGCAGGATCCCAGTGCAGGATCCCAGGGCAGGATCCCAGTCCCAGGAGCAGATCCCAGTGCAGGATCCCAGTCCCAGTCCCAGTGCAGGATCCCAGGGCAGGATCCCAGTCCCAGCCCAGCCCAGCCCCAGGACCCCAGCACCTTTCCTGCTCCTGCAGGCTGCCAGCTCATGCTCACCCTTTGGATACCAGACCTTCAGATCTCCCTGTACATCACATGAGATGCAAATCATGAATTTTAGAAAAAAGAAGAAGATACTTTAGGCAAAGACTAAACCACAGCAGAATTCATTAGCTCTCTCTGAAAGCAACCCCGCCCGAGCTCCTGGTGGAGCAGGAGCTGCTGTGCTCCCCATTCCCCTGGGCCACTCCTGTCTCCCTGAGAATGGGCTCCCTCTGAGCTCTGAGGCACAAAGGAAATGGAAATTTCCACTGACAGGTTCCCCAGCTTTTGCATTTTTGCATATTATTGATAGTGCTGCACAACACAGACAAGGGGCTGTTCTTTCATCTTGCAGGGACAAACCAGCCTCTCTCCAACACACCCAGACAAGGCTCTTCTCTGCCCTCACCAGCTCCATGCTTCTTGCATGTTTACCTCAGGAATATATGAAAATGACTGGCAAGTCTCTAATTAGTATCTAAACAAATGTCTTTTCCCCAAATGGCTAAAAAGATACATTTTTTAAAAATTTAGCACCTTTGCGTATCTGTTAGATCCTAGTCCACACTCATCCACATTTCATTCCAGCCAGGGACAAGGGATCTGCCAATATCCACAACACATTGGAAAGAATTCTCATTTTAATAGACTTTTAAAGGAAACAATCCTGTGTTGGACAATAGGAGTTGATGGCCAGGGATTTTCTAATACATAGGATCATTTGAAAGCAAATGTTTGCAATGGTTCCTAGGAAGAAGTGGTATTTTTAAAGAAAGATTTTTTTTCCTAAATTTAAGTCAGTTGAATTCCTTCAAGCACTGCAACAGGCTCTTCTTCTCAGACAGCTTCTAAAAGCAATGCTTGAGACTTTCCATAAGGGAAATATGCATTATAAAGTCATATATATTTTTAAAAGAATGTATCTTGATGAATTTATACATAAGCAGGGGTGACTTCCTCCTAAGGCACTCAGGGATGTGAAGGACTGTTGTTCAGAAAGCAACTCCTGTAGTAACTCTGTCATATACAGAGCCTGCAAAAGTATAAAAATAACCATCAAAACACAGGGAAGTAATAAATATTGAAAGAGGCAAATAATGTATGAACATGCATTTAAATTGTAAAAAATAAAATGCCAAAAAAAGAAAAAGGAAAAAAAAAAGTCAGCCAGAACCCTACATTCTTAAATTTCTTACTAACTTGGCCAAAGTAATGTCCCACAGGTGTTTTATGAGCAAGCTTTGATCCCTCACTCTGCACTTGCAGGAGCAGAAACAGCTGTAGAATCACAGAATGGTCCCAAACACTCTGAATACTGAAGGTAATCCCTCACTCCTGCCAGAGAAACAGTCCAAACTGTTTGTTAAAATCAAATAATCATAAATAAAAATTAAATCTAATCAGATTGCTGAAATCTGTAAGAAACACCAGGATGTAGGATGGTCTCATCAGTGCAACAAGCAGCCAGTTCAGTTCCCTTCTCACTTGTGGAGAGCTCTGGTGCAAGGATGGGAGCAGCACTTCATCTCCAGTGCCCAGCTCACAGCAGGAGCCTTGGGAGGTCACAGCAGACTCCTGCTGCCTCTGGATGTGCCCTGAGAGCTGAAGCCCAGCCCTGCAGGGATTCCAGGGCCCTCTGCCTCATCTCCACCTGCTCTCACTGCTCCACTGAGGCAGGGGCTGCAGAGCCTGACCGCTGCTCAGAAACTGAAACAGCTTTATAAAACAAAACAAAGAAACCCCAAAGCACAACTGACTGGATTTGTAACCCCACCCCTTCCCCAAAACATCTCCCAACAGGTGCTATGCAGGCACAATTGATGCCACCACAAAGGGATCACTTCTGGACAGTTCAGGCACACAACACCTTATCAATCCACCAAGCACTCCTAGAAGGAGTTCATCAACTGACTGTGCAGCCCCAGGGTAGAAAGGATCACCTAATTCCACATTCCAGTCTCAATTTAACCAAGTCACTTAGGCTGAGAAACTAAGCAAATGGCTACATTAATAAATTACGTTTTAATTTTTTTTTTAAATCACACAGAAGCCTAAAAACCTCTGGGACTCTGACAGTACTTGCAAAATTACTGTTATAACACAGAATACTGGCACAACTGTATCTGTACTGTCCAAAGAAATTGGTATAAATATTGCCCTTGAAGCTGACAGATCTTTTGCTAGAGTGACTTAACATGCTGATTTTGTGACCTGTGTTTATGCAACCCAGTCTGAAAGTTTAACTCAGAATACAGCATGAAAATAGAGACATGTACAAAAGGAATGTGCACCACCAGCAGTTCTCTTCCTAAAACTCCTCATATCTGAGAACAGATTAAGCATTGCCAGTCAATGTTTAATAGTTAGGTGTGTAGGCAATACAAAACACCCAATTTTCACAGAAAGCACTTAATTTATACACTACTGCCCAATGATTGTATTATTCTATGTAAGAAAATATATGTAGCAAATTTGTCCTAATATAAAAAACCCCCAGGTTAAGAGAGAACAACATGCTGCTGTAAATCAGCATCTGTCAAAGTTAAATAACTACAGGCTGCATTTTTATCCACTTCACCCACACAGCCTAATTGCTGGCATTAGCAGAAGTTTGTCCTCATAAAGACAATCTACCAGAACACGATTTTAGTTCTATTAGTGTAGTTTAACTTGCCATATTTCACAGCTCATTCTGCTGATAGCATTCAAAATAAATGTAAGTAAAATGTATACTTTACCCAGCATAAAGAACACTCTTACACAATACCAAACAACAGGAGAAAGCAAAGCCCAAAGACCAAACTTAAACCAGATCTGCAGCTATTTTTAACACCCAGTGAGGATTCAAATGAACTTACAGTGAGATTCCAGTTGATCTGGGGTATTCTTGTGTGGAGGCTGAGACTGAACAAAATCAGGAGAGCGCCGGTGACCACGAGAGCACTGCAGCTGACGAACTCAAAGAAATAAAGGCCCTCGCAGGGGGAGCATTCCATGATGGTCTCTATGCAGATGAACGCCGTCAGCGCCAAAAGCTGCGAAGAAAAACAAGTGGGAAGAAAAAAAATAAATAGATTTGCACATTTTGAAAGAAGCCACAAGTATTCCTGACATTTCCATTGGGAACACGATCGGTTTGCGCTCAGGAATGTGTGATTTCAGTTTACAACAGGGCGCTGTGCAGGGAGCAAAAACAAAAGCAAAGTAAGGTATGATTTTCTGGATTTGTCCCATTCAACAAAGAACACTTGGGCACTTTTACAAGGACTATAACATCAAAATGACCAAGACACCCCAAAAAGCATGAAACCCTTGCAGGCCACTGGCTTAACATGCAAACAGCACCTCAAACATTTTATTACATTTTTTACTCATGATACACTATTCCAAAACGAGAAGATGGAATGCATTTGTCAACCTCAAACACAATTACAGAGTATTAATGTTGTGTGATTTTGAAAGACATGTCAATAAAGATTATTACTTAAAATTCACTACCAATTGAGATCTAAATCAATTCAAAACAGAATGGATTCAGGATTTCTACCAGTGTCCAAAAATGCCTTTTTCACATTTATCATCATCAGTACACTGTATTTCATATAAAAACATATTTTATCATTCCTTTATAGCACAATAAAACAAGCAGCTAAGAGATGAAGGAAAATCCCCTGGTGCTGCAATCACAAATAGGGAGCTGGGATAATGACAGGTCACTCTAAATTCAGAGGATGAATTAACACGTGTGCACTCTGATTTCAACAAAAGTTGAATTCACCATTTAGGACAAAACCCTAACACTTGCTGTACTTGAAAATAAAGTTTGCCCAGTGGACAAAACTAAAATATATCCCCCCAGAGGCCAGTACCAGGCAGCAGGGACAGCTGCCACCACCATGGGACAGCACGGGCACTCCATGGGCACACAGCTCTCACACCACGCCTGAAGCAACTGCATGGATGGTTTGGGGGTTTTTTGTTGTTTTGTTGGAGTTTCTGCATTTTCCAGGACAAGCAAGGAAGGCCTTAAGAATGCTTTGCTTTGGTTTGCAGGACAACCACCTCCATCCACCCACTGACATTTTTTAGAAAGAATTCTCTTCTTGCTGTGCCACAAAATTCTATCGAGGCTGCAGTAAGCACTTCAATCTGAGGATGAGGAACTAAGGGAGATTCTTTCCTCAGAGCCAAATACTCAACAATCTGAATGTGTTGCACAAACATAAGTTTAGAAGATTGACAGTAGCCAGGATAAAAACCAATTTCTGCTAAATCCTCCTTTGCCAATTTCAGTGTTTTGCAAATACACTTCCTTCAACACTCTTTATGCTTCATCGATTGGTTTGTCTTTGCCTCCCACAACAAAACTTGCAAAATGAAGAAAGAGGATTTTGAAAGAAGTAACCAAGAAAGCATTTTTGCCACTAACATGAGCAGTAATTCTAAGAAAAGGACAATACCCCCCATGCTCATTTGCCACATACTTCAGAACACAGCAGAAAACGTAAATTTAAAACCAGATTAAAACTCAACCAAACTGCTTTAATAAAAAACTCACACTTGCTTGGAAAGCCTCTCACAGTTCACTTAGCACATGTTCATTAAAGACAGCAGATGCCACACTAATTTCTGTCAGCTAACAGAGCAGGCCAATTCACATCAAACAAATTCTCAATGGATACTCAGCGATTAAACACTTCAGATTTTATCTTTGACATTGAATAGCTCCAGAAAGAAAGATCATGTGTGAAATGGAATAGTCAGAATCAAAGCAGAATCAAAGTCAAGCTATGATTTCAGCAATGACACACATACCAAAAAAATTACTGTCCAGACACAGCCTCATTTTAAAGTATTAGCATGTCATCAAGTTCATCCTTTCTGTAAACACAAGCCTCAAAACTGAAGATGACACTGAATGCAATTTTAAAAAAAGCTTTAAAAACCAATCTTTGCTCTTTCAAGAAGGATCAACATCACACACTAATGCTAAATGTTAGCCAGCAAAATTTCTACTTCTAGATTCTCCAATATAATAAAGTTCCTATTTTTCTTGACACTATTTTTAATATAATATGACACTTGTAATCTTTTATTTTCTTTTAAAAGGTATGGTTCTGCAATATTCTCTAGAAATACTGCAGTAAAAGCCCCAAATATTAGGTTAATTTTCTCAAAACATGAACAACTCTGAATTGTGCTACCCACATTAGGCTGAAGGAGCCAAAATCTCTGGCACATAAGGTGCTGCACAGGGCACCAATTCTGGTTTTGCTGATAAACTTTGACACTGACTCTTCTCCACACCAGGCAGCATTGCTTCCTCAAGGCCAACACATCCTTCCTTGGCTTGCAAAGCTCTAAAGAGACCAAAGAGTTTCCTGCAAGCAGCATTAGAAATTAATTATGTACTGAAGAGGCACTTGGAGCAATGAACTCAAATAATCCCGTGTTATTTACATATTCCCAAGCCCAGAATTAATAAACTCCAGAGCAACTCTATATTTAGATTTCATTTTATCCCTTAAGAAACTATAATATACATTTACCTGTGACACACTTTTATAAGAAAAAAACCCTTAGCTGTGTACACTTAGGTGTGACTCAACCCAAAGCATTTCAAATGCAGGTAAAGATGTGCCATCAGTTTAGGATGCTCAGCAGCAGCAGCGGCCTGGGGTGTGCAGCCCAATCTACTGATAAATTCACCAGAGAGGCTGGGAGAAAACCTCAGCTGCTCCCCTGTCTGAAGGAGGGAGACAAGAAAAGGACAATAGCCCCATACAAAATGTTTATTTCTATCTCTTTGGTACTTCAGATAGATTACAACTAGATCTGTTAGCATTTTTCCTGCAATAAAAATTTATGTTCCCCTTCTCAAAGTCTGTCCATGCTGCCAGTGCTACAGACACTCCCTCCTGCCACCTGCCTCACAGCAAAGCCATGGCAAAACATGAAATCCACATTAATCACTTCATCAGAAACTTCCTTTTTCCTAATCACAACAGAAATCTCAATCCTCAATACAAAATATATTCTCTTTAAAACATCAGGATAATCTTGTCCTCCTACACATGTATAAACTTGCCCGAAGCATCCTCCCAGCTTGCAGTTACAAGTTATATGAAACTCCGATAAAACATACTTACTATCACTTTCACTGCCATTCACCCAGAGAGGAACCTAACTTTGTTTTCAATAAAACTGCTCAGAACACAAGAAATGAAAGTGAAATACACAAGGTTGATTCCACAGCCCCATGACTTAGAGATCTTAAAAGTGTTGTGCACATGCTGCCACACGAACCAAAGCTGCTTCTCAAGGGCCAGGGCTCATCCAGTGAGAGGGTTCATTTAAAAATCCCAGCCATGTGCTAACATTCATTATCACAGTGGTTTGTAATTGATGAACTCAGTAACTTGTGAGGCAGCGCAGACAAATGAGGCTGTGAATTACCAGGAACACCCCAGGCTGGCAGGGCTGTGAGCACAGCGAGTCCCTGGCTCTGCCACAGCCCACAGGAGATCAGCCTGCTGCCTTGCCCTCCCATGCCCACTGCACACACTCCCTCCTGGGAAGGGAAATCAAGGATCAGGAACCTCCAGCCCTCCTGGGCAGCCTCCATGCTCCAGCCAAGCTTGCACTGCTCCAGGTGATGAGGCACAAAGCTGCAGAGAAAAACCCAACTCCCCAAGTGCTGCAGCTCAGTCCCTGCTTTGGAACACTCCAGAGCCAGGATCCTGCTTCTGCCTCCCACAGCTGCAGCTCCAAGGCTGGCTAAAAAACCCCACAAAACCAGGGGAACAGCACAGTATCAGAGCACAGGTCTTGGCCAACAAAATACACCATGACGTTTGTCCAAGACAGAAGGCAACCCCCACTTTCAAATCACACGTCTTTTCATAGTTTGGGGGGATGAGATTTGACATGTTTTTCCACAAGCAGAAGTTTCACGGCTGGTTTACCAAGGAAAAATGAGAAGTTGAATGTGGTGGAAATCTCCTCTTACATGAATTACTGCTCTCCCCTACAAATAACACAGCTACAGCTTTCTTGGGCCAAGGCAAGAGAGAAGGTTTTCTCTGATGGACAAAACAAACCTTTCCATCTGGTTTTTCTCTGCACCAAGTACTTTGAGAGTTTTCTATTCCACTCTAATTCCTCCAACACCCTAACATTTGTACAGCCCTCTTTTACTACTAACCCTTGTCTTTTTTTAGCAGTCGCTTTTGGTTTCTCTTCTACTTCCACTCTTAGAGTAAGTACAGTGAATATTGAAAATGCAACTTTGTCACAACAGAAACATCTGCTAATGCTGGATGCTCAGGTCCATGCAGAGCTATCCCAGGCCAGCAGCAGTAAAACACCTTTCTCTGGTGAGGATCTGGTGAACAAAGCAGCTCAGCAGGAATGAGCAGGGCTCAGGTGAGCTGAGGAAAGGGCTGGCTCTGCCAGCGTGGGCACTGCAGAGCCGTGCTGTGACAGAGCATCCCTGCCCTGCATCCCCCTCTGCCACCAGCACAGCCCACAGGCAGGAGGAAAAAGCGCCAGGCAGAGGGTTAAACAGGAGATGTGCTCCCCATTTTGTGCTTTCAGCCCTGAATAAAGTGCCAAGTGTTACTGGCTGGGGCGATTCCTGCACTGAGCCCCCAGAGCAGCTCCAGGAGCCACCACAATTCAAAGCCATCAATTCCTGAGAGAGCCTCTGCTCCCGGATCCAGCGTCCTTGGAGTCAGCCACACCAGCTCCACCATCACAGCAATTCATCCCAACTTTCCTGCAAAAGGAGAAGGGCCCTTAATGAAGAAATCATCTGCCCCAGGGCTATGTAAATGGCTCATATTTACATCACTTTCCTGGCAACACAGGCACATCAGACATCAAACACTCTCTTTCCCAAAATGGAGAAGACCTGCTGTGACAGGTACCAACGCTGCAAAAGAACTTTTAGGAGGTTGCTAATGGTTTATTTTTCCTGTCAGAATATGTTGTGCTATATTTTTGAGGAAAATAATCAAAGAACTTTGCACGAAAA